ATGTAACTCAAAGACCATTTTGCTGCAAAAGATTTTGAGAAGACTTCTTTTGGTGGACAGCTTAAACATTAGAATTTAGAATTAGTATTTCATCAATTAATAAATGTCAAGCTTAAAAAATTTTCTGTAATGCTGAGTCTAGAGTGTGTGTGCATGTGTATACGTATTATGTGACTTAGGTAGATTATTGCCTTGGGCAGTTGATTGGCATCTGAATTTGTACAATAATTTCCTTTGACTCTTGGAAAATCCTTTGTGATTTCCTTGATGATTTCTTTCTATTTGTTTCCTCTCTCTGCCACTCCATTGATTTGGCATGAGCCTTCGTAGACTGATCTTAGTTTTATTACCTTTTCTCTTAGTTTTTCATATCACTTTGTTCTACTTCATGTGGTGATTTTATTAGATTGTATCCACAATTTTATTTGAATTTCACATTCATATTATAATAGTTCCTCCTCATTAGCTATTTGCATTTTGTTGATACAATATTTTTTCACTCCTTTTTAAAAACATTTTTTAATGTTTATTTTTGAGACAGAGAGAAAAAGAGAGAGAGCATGAGTGGGGGAAGGGCAGGGAGAGTTGGAGACACAGAATCCAAAGCAGGCTCTCGGCTCTGAGCTCCGAGCTCCAAGTTGTCAGGACAGAGCCTGATGCAGGGCTTCAACTCATGGACAGTGAGATCATGACCTAAGCTGAAGTTGAACACTTAACTGACTGAGTCACTCAGGTGCCCCTATTTATAAGAATATTAATTAGAAAGTTTTTAAAGTTTAAATTGTGTTTTTCCAAAGTATACCTGTTCCTTTCAGAATGACATATGCTGCTTGTTTATTTTGGTCTCTCTCTTATGTTGTAGAATTTTCTCAAAAGTCCAGTGATATTTGGCTATTCCATTATATTTAAGAATGAGACAATAAGCTGATCTTGAGGTGTGTGTGTGTGTGTGTGTGTGTGTGTGTGTGTGTGTGTAAGAGGAAGGGGAGTAGTCAGTGCTTTCAGGTTGGTAGCTCCCTTTAACATGATGTGCAGAAGTGGGCGATAATCCTGGGGACCCATAATTGTCAGTTTGAGGTCTTTTCTCTGTGGGCTTTCCATTGCTTTGGAAAAGAATCCTCTTGCTACTTACATGGCAGCTGTATTAGTTTGCTAGGGCTGCCATAACAAAATACCATGGACCATGTGGCTTACACAGCAGAAGTGTATTTACTTACAGTTCTGGGGGCTGCAAGTCCAAGACATCGGTGTTGGCAGGTGTTGGTTTCTCCTGAAGCCTCACTCTTTGGCCAGCATAAGGTCATCTTCTCGCCATATCCTCTTACGGCGTTTCTTCTGAGTGTGTTATGCCTGATGTTCCTTCCTCTTCTTATAAATACTGGTCTATTGGATTAGGGCCCACCCTAATGGTCTCATTTTAAGTCAATTACCTCTTTTTGAGGGCCCCATCTCCAAATACATTCACATTCTGTGGTCCTGGGGGTTAGGACTTCAACATGTGAATTTGGGGGAGGAAACTTTTCAGTCCCTAACAGTGGGTAGGTGGATATCTGTCAGTCTGCCACTAAGAAGGGGGTTTTACAGTGTGAGATCAACTGTTGGGACAAGAGCAGGATTTCTTAGGTTTGGCACTTCTGACATTTTGGGCTACATAATTCTTCGCTGTGAGACCTGTCCTGTGCATGGAAGGGTGGTTAGTGGCATCCCTGGCTTCTTTGACTCACTAGATGCCAGTCATGACTATCAAGTATCTTCAGACACTGACAAATGTCCCTGGGGAGTGGGGCAAAATTCCTACCCAGTTGAGAATCAATCTGTGGCTTTCTCTATTTTAGGAAGTCTTAGGGCAGACTATAGATGAGTATGGATGGTCACTGTACTATATTTAAATAAAGGCTCTCCTACCTCACCTTTATTATAAATTATAAATGATAAAACTGAGACTTTGAGAGAAGAAGTAATTTGCACACAGTTGCATCTAACAAAAAAAGACAGGATTGGAATCCAGTTCAGTTGGCTGGTGCCTTTTCCACAAACTCAAGTTTGCTGCTTCAGCTTGATTTATTCTCTTCAAAGACATTTATTCTCTTTAAAGGAAAAAGTCCCCAACAAGTTATTTGGATTCCTTAAAATAAAAAATCTAGTAACAGCAAAAGCTTTTGGGAGGAACCCTTTACCTCCAACTTTTGAATTTTTAAAAAAAGTTAAATTCTGATCTCAGTAAGAAACTGCTTTAAACTGGGACGGTTCAGAGTAGATGGCTACTGTGTTCTGTCCTCTATTAAATGATTACAGGTGAAATATTAATTTCACTCATTCATTCATGTATTATTTTAGTTATTTCCCCAAACTCTCTGGCTGAGGACAAGCATTGCAGTGTGTGTGTGTGTGTGTGTGTGTGTGTGCATGCGCGTGCACGCGCAGAGACATACACCAAGTACCTGCCTTTGTTTGTGTATTGCGGGTGTGTGTGATGTCTGTGTGTTTCTATGTGGCATGTGTATGTGTGCATACACATTGGGTGAACTGAATTTGGGTTTGCTCCAAAAGGAATACACAGAATTTTATCAGAATAGCCCAGATTACAGCAGTATTACCCAGCGCTTCCTCTAAGAACAGCACGCACTTATTTGGTGTTGCTGATTTTTCATCCTTAGTGCCCACAAAGCACTCTGAGATCTCTTCTAACACCTTGACAGATGATGATTTGACCCCCACCCCTTCCCCCCAATCACCCAATTTGGGCTGACAGTATTGGCCTGGAGGGCTTCCGCTGCCCTTCAAAGTCAGCTCTGATGAGGCTTTCAAAACACACACGTGTCCGGTGTGAAAGAGCTGCACCAGTGCGCCCAGACCCTCTAATCTTACTCCCAGGAGGGGCTAAGATCTCTGCTCGCTGGAGCCCATGACCTTGACTGGCTGAAAACACTGAATCCTGGTTTTGGGAGCAGAAAGGATGCTGTGGACTGTGAGTCTTCAGGGGTCCGAGAGAGAGAGATGACTGGAGACCAGTCTGAAGGGGAAAGTAAAGTCTGGAAGGAAGCAGGGTTCAGTCATTCTTTTGTTACCATATGGGCTGATTTGTTTCATTTCTTCAAATATTATAAATTGTACAGTAGAAGATACTCCTCCATATTCTTTCCCCACGTTCCCCATAGGGCCCAGCAGAAAGTATCTGAGTACATGTGTATCCTATTCTCTGTTGCAGTAGTACTTACACATGGGGATTTCATTCATTCACGTATTCAGCAAATACTTACTGAGTGCCTACTTTGTGCCAAGCATTGTCTTAATTCTGGATTACAACAATGAGCAAAGCAGACGAAAATCCTTGCGTTTTGGAGAGACAGCAAATAAATCTGATAATTAATTAATATAGATAGAATGTGAGCACTAAGGAGGACAAATAGAAAGGGGTTTTTCATGTATGTGGGAGGGATGGGTTCAGATTTTAGATAGGGTGGTTAAAGAAGGCCTCAGCGATGATCTGTGTGGAGACCTGAAAGATCTTGGTGAAGGGAGGAAAGGCGCTTTCTGTTTAGATCATTTTGTAGGTAGACTCAGCACGTCACTTCCAAAGTGCGTGTTGTGTCTGTTGGTTTATGAAGCATCCTCATCTCTCAGAGGAGTCACTGTTTTCTTGCTTTTGCCTTCGGCACATCCTCGCTCCTTTGCCCTGGGTTCCGTCCTTCCCGCCTCCTAGAAATGCTTTTACTCATCAGCACGGAACTCACTTCCCTACGGGCTTAGGTTGAAACTTGCTTTAGGGTCTTCCTTCTTAGTAAACAGACAAACAATGAAATGCCCTTCTTGAACATTGTTTTTATCTCTGTCTACCACTTTGTTGTCTTCTCTCTTTTATAGCAAAACTTAATGGGAAAACGGTCCTGACCTACTGTCTTGACTTCTGCTTCTCAACCCTCCAAACCATTAAAATTCTACTTGTGAGGGTCACTATTCAGGTTATAAAGCCCGTGGCGCAGCCTCAGACCACCTTTCTAGACTCTATCTTGGGATCCTGGGACCAGGAGTCTGCAAACTCCAGTTCTCCTTGGTCATCTGGTTTCCACTGGTCTTGCTGAGAGGGTGCACTGGAGGGGACTGGTGGAAAGGGCTGCTCTCCCCATTTGCGCGCCCTTTGGGTCAGCGCGTCCCCAGCAGCAGCCCCGCACCCGCACCCGAGCGAGTAGCTCCTTCCAGTCTCCTGCTTCGCCAGCAGCCTCCTGTCCTTCTCTTCAGAGGCTGCATCCTCTGCTCTGCGGGGCCCGTCCGCCCAGCTTCTAAGGCATCAGCTCTGGCCGAGTAGGCTCCCTCCCGGGGCCCCTCAGCGAGCTCCAGAGGTAGCAGAAGTAGCAGGGCAGCGCTCCCTCCTTCGAGGCCAGCGCCCAGCGCCGTGGCGCCTCCCCTCCAAGGGCCTGGATTCCTGTGGCTCCCACCTCTGCCTCTTGTTTCCCTGGCCCTAGAGGAGGGGACTGCTTCCTGCAGTTCAAGTCTGTGCTTTCTCAGCCTTCCCTTTTCCATTTCCAGCTCTTTAACCCCTGGATTTGACTGTCAAACAAATGGGTCTCTCTCCATCTTTTATATCACGTGGCATTTTACCTTTCCCACTGCTCCCTCCTTCAAGAGCTCTCTTCCCTTCTGCCTCATGAGACCATTCTTTCTTGAACTTCCCCTTCTCAGGCTCCCTCATGATCTCTCGACTGTCCTGAGCTCCTCATCCTGCTCCATTCTGAGCCCTGGCTTCAACCTCTTGTTAAGGATTCCAGTTCTCCGGGCTTGCTCAGACTTCTCTGTAGAGCTCACACTCCTATTTACAACTGCTGGCTATATCTTTCTTTCTGAATATTCCCCAGGCTCTTAGTCTCCGTATTTTCCAAATAAATCTTACCATCTTCTTATCCTAAACTGCTCTCCTGTTCACCATCTGCCCCGTTGCTCAAGACAAAATGATAAGATCTGTTTGGATTTCTCCCTCTGTCCTACATCCTGCCTTTACTTTGGACTTAACGTTTCCTGAGGCTTTGGCTTCTCTCTCCAGCTCCTGCCGTAGTTCAGATGAGAGCTAACACTTACAGAGTACTTAATATGTTCCAGAAGCCATACTAAGAGCTTTGTATAGAACTCATTTAATCCCCACAGCAGTAACTCTATGGGGTAAGTCCATTTTTTTTTTAATGTCTTTTTTTATTTATTTCTAGGGGAGAGAGAGAGAGACAGCGTGAGCAGGGGAGGGTCAGAGAGAGAGGGAGTCACAGACTCTGAAACAGGCTCCAGGCTCTGAGCTGGCAGTCAGCACAGAGCCCGACGCGGGGCTCGAACCCACAAACCGCGAGATCATGACCTAAGCGAAAGTCGGACGCGTAACCGACTAAGCCACCCAGGCGCCCTGGGGTAAGTCCATTTTTATCCCCAATTTACAGATGAAGAAACTGAGGTACAGAAAAGTTATGTGATCTCCCCAGTCACACTGCTAGTAAGTCACACCGCTCAGATTTGAATTCAGGAAGATGGGCTCTTAACCATGCTGCACGACAGCCTCTCAAGCATGGATGAATCCCCAGCTTGCCTGAATCCGTTTTCTTCTGTGGAGCTCTTCCTGAACCTTCTTCCTCCCCGCTGTCAGAGTAGACTCCCTTCCTTGTGCTTACCGACCATTTACCATAAACGGTGTTAACACATCTCCCTCGATGAGCAGTGACAACTCCAAGGGCAGTGGGGATTTTACTGTTCATTTTTCTCTCCAGCATGTAGTATGGGGGCTAGGACATAGTAGAAGCTCAGTGAATATTTTGGGGACTAGAAACAATCATTTTCAGTACTCTCTGGCCAGTTGAGTTTAGTGGTTAGGACCTGAACTGGGGTCTTCCTCTGGGTGTATGTCTGTCAGCTGAGGGACACATCCCCAGTGACAGTCACTTATGTCAGGGTGACTTTGGCAAGGTGATCTTGGCTGCCTGACAGGATAATATAAGAAACTTTCACAAAACAGTGTGCTCTGCTCTTGGCTTTGAAAATCCTACCAAATGGTGGGGGAATAAGTAGCAAGACTCATGGCAAAGGCAGCATGCTGATCAGCCCCGTGTGTCTTGTCTCATGTTGTAAGAAAAAAGAATCATGCAAATGTTGTATAATTGTTTGTCTTCATTATGTGAGCTTGTTCCGCACTTCATTATGCACAGAATTTGCAAGTTGCTTTCTGCCTTCCTCCCATTTCAAATAGCTGATTTGAAATTTCAGGAAAGGTACGTATTAATTAGCAGGCCTCTGTATAGCAAATATTAATTTAGAAACTGGTGTGAAGCATGAACATCAACATAACATCCATTGTACAATGAGAAATGATATAAACGTTTTCAAGGTCCAGAGATATGGGAGGTTAGAATCTATTTTGAGGATCTGGATAAACACATTTTTTTAGTAGATTGTCCCCATTGCTCTTGGGAATGACAGCAAAGGATGGATGGAAGGAGAGGTTTGGCGTAGCTTATATAGAAGAGGTGTGAGGATTAAAATTAAGGAGGAAGAAAGAAGAGCAAACGGCAAATAACTATGGATAATACCTACGTAAGGTTCCAAGGATGTTCCCATTGAGCCCAGATGTTTTAGTTAACTGTTCTTTTGAATGACATGAACACAAGCCGTGATATTCCTCATAATCACACCTTGTGGTTAGTGCTGAAGAAAGACACGAACCAGGAGTGTGGGGTAAATATAAATACGGGGTCTGTTCTTTCTTTCAAAACCATGTGTCCTACCCCAACCCCGCCCCCCCCCCCCCCCCCCCCCCCCCCCGAGCTCCTGGGAGGCCTGAGTAAGAAAGAAGCGGAGAGAACAGAGGAACTCTCTGGGGATCCCATCACCCTCCACTTATTAGCTGGCAGACATCAGCCAGCTTACTTGCCCATCCTGAGCCTCTGGTTCTTCATCTGTGGGCTGTAGATAAGAGCATCTACTTCTTAACAAGGTTCCAGTGAAGATTAGAGATAAGGAAGGAAAAGACTTCTAGAAGAAGCATAAAAAAGGGAGCCATTATTATGCTTTTCTTGACCAAAAGGGAAGGAGCTGCAGTGTCTCAAAGGTGTAGACAAGCAGTCTCAGTGGCTAGTTCTGAGAACCTGCTCAGCTCCTTTCATAGGACTCATCCCCCCAGAAGATTTCTGATAAAATCCCAACAGGTACAAACATGGGTTCACATTTTTTATATTTCATTAAAATGTCAAAGCTCCAGTTTTCAGCCAATGTTTATGTTTATTCACGACCCAGCGAAGGCGCTCAGTGTTGGAGAGAGTGGACACGGCTTCAGGGGCCCTGCCATTATTTGGGGATGTGACTGAGACTAGGTTACACACGAGGGCCCTGCTTTGAGCCGCCCCCTTCTTGGTGCTGCCGCCCCGTCCCAGCTGGTCTCACCACCCCGGCCCCGTCGCAGGGGCCCCAGGACCCGGGGCCCCCTTGATGAGACACGGATGTAGGAGCCGGAGGTAAACGACAGCTCTTTTATGGAAACCCAAACGGCCCAGCTTCAGGGGCGTGGTGAAAAGCCTGCTCCTTCCCACCCTCCCCACAAAAATCCCTGTGGAAAGTTCGAGCACCCAGGAAGGCGGCTTTTAAGAAAGGTGCTGAAGGAGCCAAATAAATATATTTATGCATTTTCTAAATTTAGACTAGACCAGTGGAGAGAGACATACTGTTTTTAAGTGCTTGAAAGGTGTAAACATTGTTGAGGCAAGGGGAAGCGAAGGGTTGCCCAAGAAGCTGTATCTCAGAATATTTGATGGAACAGGATGAACATGTAATTATCGAGGAAATGAAATCTGGAAGAAGCCTGCTGGTCTAGGGCTGGCCTCCTGGGAAGACGTGAAGGCAGCTGCCACTGTGCTGCCCCCGCTGCCCCCCTCTGGCTGAAGAAGGGGTGGAGGGGATCGTCTAGGGATTGATTCAGGGAAACAGATGAGTAAGAGGGAACTTTAAAAAATTATGAGGAATGATTATTTTCTATTGCCTAACCAGAGAGCAGAAGCTAAGAATGAACAATGGTAAGGTCATCCAAGAACACTTAGGGTGTGGAGAGAAAAATGGACTCTCAGCCAGCTTGATGCAAGTGGTCATCCAGGTCAAGTTTGGAGAATCGGGCAGGTCTGTAGCAGCCTGTGGGGCAGTGGGGGCTCCCACCGGGAAGAGGAGCACCCTGATCTTGGAATAGAGAAGAGATGTATACCCGATTTTATTTTTTATTAGGAATTTTATTTTTGTTTCTAACCCCTCCTTATAATGTAAAATTCCCCCTTGGGTACACTTACTTTCAGTTAAAAAGATAAATGATTAGGTTAAGAGGTTTCAACACAGAAATAGTCCTTAAGTGAGCAGACAGTTACCAAGTAGACGGACATCAGCCAAACAGATACTTCTCAATTCAAAATCATGCTATTCCTAAGTAAAAGTGTGTCTTTGTCTGGGAAGACAAAGAGGAAACTGAAATGCATATAGCTAAGTGAAAAAAGTCAGTTGGAAAAGGCTGCAGTGATTCCAACTATATGTCGTCTGGAAAAGGCAAAGCTTTAAGGACAGTAAAGAGATCAGGTGTTGGAAGTAGAGGGGGAAGAGGAAGGCATGAACAGGTGGCGCATGGGGGCTGTTTGGGGCTGTGAGATGATCCTGTGTGACAGTGTCATAGTGGATACATGCCATTATGCATTTGTCAAAACTCACAGAATGTACAATACAAAGAGTGAACCCTAATGTAAACTATAGACTTCATTAGGAATAATGTATCAACATTATTGGCTTATCAGGTATAACAAACATAGTGTCCCGGTGCAGGATATTAGTAGTAATGACAATAATGCGGGAAGACTAAGGTGGAGGGAGAGAGAGTACATGGGAATCCCCTGTGCTTTCTACTCACTTTTTCTTTAAACCTAAAACTGCTCTTAAAAAAATTATTGATTAGTTTTTTATTTTTTTTTAAGTTACAATGTTTATTTATTTGAGAGAGAGTGTAAGCAGGGGAGACACAGAACCCAAAAGCAGGCTCCAGTCTCTGTCAGCACAGAGCCTGACGTGGGGCTTGAACCCATGAACCATGAGATCATGACCTGAGCTGAAGTGGGACGCTCAACGGACTGAGCCACCCAGGCACCTCCCCAAAATTTCTTTTCCTAAACCATCTGGGTGGCTGAAAACTGGTATTAGAAAAAGAAAATCTTAGTGATTACATTTATTTTATTTAATTAATAAACATAAGCCTAGTAAATACTGAGCTAATGTGAGGCTCTGAGGAGCTGAGATTAGATAGAATCACTGTCTTCAGCAGTGACAGTAACCACATCATTAGCCCACAACAGCAATAACTAATGTTTATGGACCGCCTCTTCTGTTCTAGGCCCTAAATTCACTATCTCATTTAATCCCATAACCCCAAGAGGGACAAATAAAGAAAGTGACATTTTATATTGGCTTGACAAATAAGGAAACAAGTTTGGGAAATTTAAATATCTTGCCCAAGGTCACCCACCTAGGAAATAATAGAGTCAAAACTGGTAATCTGACAACTGCCATATCAGAACTCCAGTGTATCCCCATAGGAACACAGAGCCAGGTAACATTCATTCTGTTTGCAAGGCTGCTTTGAAGAGTTTTGTAGTTCTTAGGGAAAACTTCAAGTAAAGATATTAGAACAAATGCCATTATAAACAGGAAACCGATATGGTTCTCCTCAAAAAGCTGAGTAACTCTTTTTACAGAAGAAATTTATCAGATTATATAATTGTATTTCTCCATTCAAATTTGAAAAATCCCTTTATTGCAATTATTGTTGTTACGACGAAGAGTATATTAGCACAAGACAGCTTTACAGCTATTGAGAATTAAACTACAAGGAAAACAAATTGAAAAATGAGGTGAGGCTGAAGTACGTATCTATATTTAACTTTATGTGAGTAAGAGGAGCATTAAACTTCACTGCTGCTTGAGACCATTAAAATCTTTTTCATTATCCCTGGAACACTATTGCTCTGATCACTTCTAAAATTCATGCAAAAGAGAACAGTGACTGTGGCAAATGAGACTGATCCTGTCTTTCCCACACATAGGTTCATATAGCCATCCTTTCAAGAGTTTGCTGACTCACAGTTGTGAGACCACAACTTGAATTA